CAAACCATTCTGTGATGTTAATTATTGCAGAAGTCAGGCTTATAGAGAGCCAGACATTTATTCCTAGAGCCTGTGCTTTTGCAGTAGCCAGTTTAATGTTGGATTATTTAACGAATTACAGCATCTCTGGGGAAAGGTGCGGGGGCAGAGATTTAAACCCGAGTTGGTTACATCACATCATACAGCTTGGCTACTTTATACAGCTACCAAGATGAACTAAGCCATTAAAGCCTCATGTCTGGGCCCCTTCTCTGACTCCAGTACGCTCACACGCTGATGGACCACGCCATGCTTTCAACCTTGTGCCCCTACCAGCTCCCTGATTTTAACCTCATCTCACCTTATTCCAGCACCCATCTGTGAAAGGAGGAACTCAACAGAAGTATTTTCACTCTGGATAGAAGTAATTTCAGGAGTGGGTTAAATACATCAGCAAATCACAGCTTAAAAGCTCTTGACGTCAGAAATAGCTGGGAGATAAGTTAGATATGCCGAAGGGCTCTGGAAATTCCCAAAGTCCCAACACTCCATGCATTTGTTATTCTTTTTCTCCAGTCCAATTCCATTCCCTCTGACCTGTGGTTCAGTAGGGTATTCACAGACACCAAAATGTGAATACACCCATCGCAGTACTCAGCATGGCAGTTACCTGTCTGCAGATGATTTTAAGGCAGAGAAACAAGAGATACTACTTGGAATCTCTACTATATATAACACTGAAGTAAATACGATTTCAAGAGCCAGAATTCACCCAATTTTTCTGACATCAGACCTTTAGCTTACATTCACTCAATTCCAAACCCAAATGTTGTGGATTCCCTTCCCATTAACACTAAAGAAGCCTTTTTGAACAAGGAGGTATCACTACTATGACTTACACTCGTAGAACAGGACAACTGCGTTTTCATTCCAAGCTTAAACTGAAGTTCCCACATGCTTATAAAATGCCTACAAGTGTGGAAAAGAAAACCAAAGCTCATCAGCTTCAAGGATAGCTAGAACTCAATGGTCTTTACCAGTGATACAGAACAAGGCTTCCCTGTAAGCCTCTCCATCACCACAAGCCTGAATCAAACTGCAGTTTCTTGCTGTGCTGAATTCTGCACTAGTGTGGTTAAAAAGTGATGTTAAAGCAACAGCACAACCCATACCCAGTTAATTTCCACATGCAGTCTGGAGAGCTTCCTTTTTCTTTTGGTCTTGAGGAAAACAGAGCATTTCAAAAGATGCTTCCTTTTCAATGAACTATTCGGGGCATACACCCTATGGCCCAGAAGATGCAAAACCACTGACCACAGGGACTGGGTTTTCTGCTGTAGTGGCTTTGGGGGATGCAATCCAGACTGTGTTTGGGATGTGAGGAAGTAAAGTCAGGACCATGGTAAAAGAAGAGTTCAGACTCACAGCAGCAGTGGCCTGGAGTTGAAGATAATTAAAAAGGCAACTCTCTTCAATGGGTTTTTAACCTTTATTTTAAGGAGAAAAAAAGGCAAGGGAGAGCTTTTAATACAGCGTCCTGGAAACTCGAGACGCAATTAGAGGAATAGATTGTAACACATACGAATTTAATTTGCCATTTTGTGAAGTAAACAAGAGATGGAAACTTCCAATTGATAAGAACATTTGCATTTTGGTTTAGTGTAACCATTAGAGGGAGGAAATGGGCAGATCTCTGCAGAGGACAAAAATGCAAACATCTGAAAAGGTCAGAGAAAACGCTGTTCTTCCTAATTCACTCATCCAAAAATGCCATTTTGCTCCAAATAATAAACTGTGTCTAGAAAGAACGCATCAACTTCAGGGAAGAGAGATTGCATCCAAGCGAAATATTTCTTTACCTACTACATCTTACCTGCAAAAGCAAAAACTACTGCAGGAGAAAGATAATATAAGGTTTATCTATGAAAGAAAAAGACACACATTTTATTTTCTTCATAATCAGTTGGGAAAGAACCATCTACCATTGAAAAAGCCAACCATGGCTGAAACTGCCCATTAGTGAGGACATTCAGGGACACATAATACTCCTGGAGTATTCCAGTGGTCAATAATACTTGAAGTTAATAGTGTGGTTTAACACGGCCCTTTATTCCTAAATGGGCTCTTGTACATTCTTACAAGGGAATCGAGAAGTAAAGTGTAAAATACAAAAGCTATTCCAAACACCTAAATCCATTGGATTTTCCATTGTTTCTTATGTTTCTAAAAGCACCATTTCGGATTATGAGCTTAACCCATCTGAATTGCTTCCCTACACAACAGCCAGCGTAAAGGGCTGGTGCCCACCAGGATGGGATGCTGCCAATGCTAAGTCCTTCCAGCTGTGACAGAGGTGAGCACGGCTGGAACAGGGAGCAGCCTGCAGCCCCATGCAGTCACTGGAGGGAGGGGATTGTGCATTATCTCTGCATTACTCCAGAACAATAATCGATTGTTTTCCCCACATACAGATGAACAAACCTTCCATTTAACTACTTGCTGTTAAATTGTATTAGCATGCATAATAGTGGCCGTATCCTCAACAAAAAAAAAACACCCCAAAACAAGACAAGAGGATTTTGCATGGGGGAAGGGGAGTAAACAAGTAAACCATGCTCTGCCAGCTTTATCTATCTACGCTGTGAATTGGGTAGCCTTGGGGATTTTTGCCCGCTGCGCTTAGTGTCCTTGACAACAAGCCAGTTTGAATTTTGGCCTTTAACTTGACAAAAATGACTTGCTGAAGAGGAAGGCATCAAGCTATTACAGCCCTGTGGAGAGATTCTCTCTAAACCAGCATGCGTGCGTATTCTGCCAATTCACCCAGAGCATCGTCAAACGTATCCTCCGCCTCCTGTACCCTCAAATATCCCCAGTGTAGCTGCCAGTTTGTAAGGGAATAGTTGTAAGAAATACAACATCTCTGCTACGTGCTCCCGTTGAGTTTTAAGACTTTCACAAAGAAAGACTGAGATGGAAAACAGGGGGAAAAAGATCCCCAGGGATTGCAGGAATAACTGCATTTCCCTTCAAAGAGGTGTGAAATAAAGTTTAAAAGCATGTAACCAGCATCTGAACCTGTTATGGAGCTACTGGCTCTCCTTTGGCAAATATATGTGCAGGTTTCCTCTTCTACTACATTAATACTTAAATAGATCTATTGCAAATGGATATATATACTGATAAACAAGCTCTAGCAAAGCTTGCTGTGTGGTTTAAGAAATCACTGCTCTCTCTCTCTCCTGTTTGTCCTCTCCCAAAATCAACTCGCAACAGAAAGCAACATAACAGATAACGTAAGAGATAACAGCTTGAGTTACTGCAGCAGTATCTGCAGGAACTCAGATGTAAGCACCTGAAACATCACAGTCAGATGCAGTGCATCTTCCTCACCACCAGCCATAACGCAAGCACTGTCAACTACCTGTATGTTTAACTTCAGGCTTTCCAGTATACATCCTAAAGGAGGTGAGATGATACCAAGGTAAATAAAGCTGGAAGTTGATCAACTGTAGTGGTGTCCTCACAGTCAAAAGAGGAGTCATGTATATGAGGACTCTATGTGAGACCTCAACACAGCCATACCCTAAAACCCGAACAGATCACAACAGGAGGAACAACGTGGTGCTTGTCAACAAGAACCTCCAGACTCAAGATCTCGCTGACCACAACATAACCAGAAAGATTCAATTCCTAATTTAGGGGGAAAAATGGCCGGTGGAACTGCCCCTTTCAGCCCCTGCTTTTTACTGTTCTCTCCACTCAAGTCTTAAAGGAGTTTCTCTGCTGTGTACACACCTAAACTTCACAAGTACTACGCTGACCGATCAAACTGCGTCTGTTCCAAACCGCTGCCCTATCACACTACCTCAACCAACGTGGCCCAAACCAGCCGGGCAGCCGAGCAAGTATTTAATGCTGGAACCATAAATAGCAGCAAGTAATCCAACCAGATTAATCCCACTTTAAGTGTGTCAACCGGGCTTGCTTGGAGCTGGGCAGCAATCCAGGTAAACCTCCAACACACACACACACGCATGGGTGGTATTTCCATGCAGCAATTCTTCATGTATCGACCCACCAAGCACACCTCCAGCCAGCTACAGACACAACCAAGGGGTCTCTCATTCATCTTTACTTCCAGTTGCAGCTTTAAAAGCTTCCCAGTTGCTGTCGGGAAGAGGTCAGCTACCTGCCACACTTAACATCATGTGTAAAATCCACTTCCTCGCTGAGGAACTGGAAACACAAAGTAGGATGCTGCAAAATGTGATAAAGCCATTGAAGGAAACGAAGAGAAAACTGGTCTTGGACGGGTGGGTCGTATGGAATGAAAAAAGAAGAAATCATTAAATAACTGCACAACCACATCCCAAATAGCATTTCTTTCTATGAAGACATTCAATTTGAGAAAAGAAAGTTTCAAGTTGGGAATAAAGCAGTTATTGTTTCTCCTTTCCCTGCCTGAGGGGGATATTCAAACAAACTCCTTTTGGAAATTTAATTTACTTCCACCAGGACAATGGTGCTGGCATCGTCCTGACTTACTGGGAGAAACAAAAAAGGAGCCTCACTACCCATAGCCTGCCCAGAGGAAAAGGCTGCTCTTTGGATTCCCACTCCAGCAGCCCGAAGATGCCAGCTGGCCGGCTGCAAAGGCTGCGCTCGAACTTCCCCCTCAGGAAAGCAGGATGATTTGGTTTGTTCAAGTCCTTATAGTTATATGCCCCAAGCCTCTTCACCATCCCTATCCAAGGGGCTTGAGCAGCCCCAGACATACCTTCACCAAACACTACTACTTCATAACACAAATGGGGAAGAGAAGCGGGGAGAGATTAAGCGCCTCGGCTCAGCGTCGCACAGGGAATCTGTAGTGAAGTTCCAGCCCGGCACTCCAAACACCAGGCAGCCTGCTCCCAGAAGACATGGAGTAGAGAAAACCCTTACAAGAAGACAATAACAAGACACAGATTTCGCCATGCTCCCAGATTACCACGCAAAATATATTTGGAGCAACTTACTGCCGCTTCCCACCGTGTTCCCCATTGCATGAAACCGGCTCAGTATTAAGCTCCAAATGCCAAGGTTGGGCTGAGCAGCCGCTGTTTGCCTTGCACCAGTGCTCTGAGGCTGTAACCCACAGCCCTTCTCATGTACAACCATAAAGCTACAGACAGCCTATGAAGGATTTACAATGCCTGATATTGAGATCTCTACACAGATCTTCATTGTTTCTGAACACTGGACATAAAACTGCCCAGGTCACCAGTATTAGTGTTGCTATTGATCACTCAGTTAACTCTGCTGCAATGATTAATGCATTAGTCAGGGAAGACAAGCAAAACGTACTGATGTTTGTGACACATTTTAACCCGTGCTTTTGTAACAATCCTATGTGAACTCTGCTTTTAAGGCAACATAATATTCTGTTTTCTACTTGAAGTAACTGTATTCTTTGGTGTATTCCTTAAATTACAAATGCACATCTGCAAAAAGGCCCAAAGCCATCCATTTCCCAGCTACCAACTGGTCAGTTTTGGCAACAGGACTTCCCTAACCTGTGCAGAACACAGTGAACTGAAAGTGCTGTTCTGGATACTCACCTGCATCACCTCTTTCCCTTGCTTTGCCACTGCTGAGCACCTTCCCTACAGGAATCAAATCTGTCACCTACAGATCTGGTTCTTTCCCTCAGCGCACAGAAATCGCCTGCTTCCTTCTCATCCTCCTCCCTGATGGGGAGGAGGATGCGCTCTCCTCACACATGGAAGAGCTCTTGCCCATACCCTCCTTCCAAAATCCCAACAACAGCCAGGTCTGCCGAGGAGGAATGCCTTTTATGTTCTTGAGTACTCTGGACTGCAGCTTAGTGAGGTGCTTGGAGACACTTGTATTCTCCTGTTGTACCAACTCTGGCTTTTCCGTTAGAGACTGGTTTTTCCATCTGACCTCATACACAAGATCCTCTCTGCCTCCACCTATGGAGGGATCCATAAAGGTTAAAGCAATGCCTTTTCCTTCCCAATCTCTTAGTTCCACAATGGCACCAGAAGCCAGCCAGCTTTTACCACCTCAACAGAGACCCTGCTGAAATAGCCAATGATGAAGCCACAACACAACTTGTAGCTTTTTGGGTGGAAAAGTTCCATCTTTAGTCCACTCCTTCACAGTCTCTTCCCAATTCCATCTGCAACCTTGGCCTGCAAGCTACATGGAACAGGAGCATCTCTACTACCCAGCACAATGAGACAGCAGGTTCCACGAGCACTCCAGGGTGATATAACAGCATGAGCAAGATGTGTGTAAGCCTTGGAGATGATGAACCCTTTGGAACTTCCCCAGGGAGCAGCGACTGCAGCAGCAAACAAAGGTCTCAGAGAAGCACATCAGTGCAAAGGGACACACGTGCTCCACAAAGGTCCCCTGGCCCGTGGATCGTGCTCCTCCCTGATGCAGGGGATCCTGAGCACACACGTTCACAATATCACTGCATTATTTCCGTCTCTGTTTGGGTAATTCCACCACTGCTGCACTACCCTGAGGGCAGCGCAAAGAAACCACACACTTAATGATAACTTTTACCTTACTTTGCCTAGAACTGCTCCAAGCAGCAAGAGACGTGGCCAGGGATCTCTCTAGCTCCTGCATCACCAGCAGTGGTGAAAGCTTCAATGGGAATAAGAGGAACAGGAGAAATGGAGATAGGATGAGAGATCAGCATGGTTGAGAGCCACGTGACACAGAGTCATTCCATCCCTGGCAGTGTTCAAGGCCAGGTTGGACAGAGCCTTGGGTGCCATGGTTTATTGTGAGGTGTCCCTGCCCATGGCAGAGGGTTGGAACTGGATGATTTAAGGTCCTTTCCAACCCAAACCATTCTCTGATTCTATGATTTTAAGCTGTCATCCAACTTCCTTCCTGAGGTTGGGGTTTTTTTAGTGTTTCTAAAGAAGATGCATCATTTGCCATTTTGTTTCATTACCATTTCTATCAGGATAGGACTGACACCGCTCTGTGTACGCTGGAAGAGAATATCCCACAATCATCAGAGGATCCAAAGCTTTTAGAGATATCCACATAAATAATCCCAACATGCTGCTAATACAAATACATGAGGAAAATACAATGATGCCTTTACGAAAAAAGCAAGAGAGATTCTACCACTGCTCCCTTCCCATTTGCAAAGTAAATGGGATCTTCAGCCTAAAGAGGTATCTACACCGCTATTTTCAGCAGGGTAAAACATAAATGGTTTCTAATCACAGGACACACAATGCAGGTAGTAAATCATAACAAAAGAGCTCCTTCTGCCTTGATTTAAACCTGCCCCAACCTCCCCACAGCAAACCAGATGAGAAAACAAAAGGCACGCTTAGCTAGAGCTCTTTGAAACAGGTAAGTCAGCACACTGGTCTCCAGCGAAGCCAAGAACACGGCGTTGCCTAACGATTCAGAAGCAAAACCTCTCCCAAAGCAATTTATTTTTTGATTAAATACAGCAATTTCTGTCACACCACCCATTCCCGCTCGTAAAAAATGTGTCGGAGCAAGCAGATTGCTTCAGTGCAGCTCAAAAAAGTGGAGGAAGGAGAAAAATCATCCGCAGAGTTGCTCAATAAAGTGAAACTTCAGCCTCTTCCAGACGACATTCTCGAGCGCACGCTAAAAGCAACAAAGCATTTGGATGCAGCATTCAGCCTCTCCAACGTAACCCAACAGCTTCTCTCTGTTATTTAAATGCTGTCCTCCAGCTCAGAACTGAGACCACGGCCTCACTTACTTCCCTCACATTCTTATTGACTGACTGGCATAGGAATAAGCCACATGAATGACCGAGCTGACATTTCGCACCCAGCACCACAAAACTCATTTCACATCAAGCATCATCCATCCAACCTAACACTATTTTCAGCCTTCTCATGGCCAAGAAAAGGATTTTCAGCTTTACATGATCCTCCCCAACCCTGGTCTTCCAAAGCACAGAATCAAATGAAGGATTAAAAGCAAACCAGGACTTTCTGGGGAAGAGCTGCTTCTGACTGATTGCATCCCGTGCCAGAAGCAAGTTAACCTGTAACTGAAGTTTAACTAATGCTGTTTTTGCAATATTTGGCACTGTTTTATGCAGAAACAGCTCTATGTGATCAATGGCAGTGACCAGGGGCAGCAACGTGGCTCCTTGAGCCCAAACCATCTCCGCCATCCACTTGTTGCCTCTGACAGACTGGATTGCACCTTGTTCATTAACAATTCATACCACAGCCTCAAGAAGCAGAAACTGGGTCTCTTCCCATTAAAACATCGACCGGAGCAGCTCCTAGGAGGCTGAATCCACATCTTTCAGGGTGCAACGCAAATGGGCTTATCCATAGGTGCACTCTCACTGAGGCCTCGTCGCACACACTACGGTTGGAGTCACCTCTCGCTCGGGGAAGGGACTTTGGAAGTTGAAGGCAGGATTTGCCTTCAAGTTGTGAGGAAGGAGGAAGAACAGCTAAAAAAGCACCAAAAGAGAAGCTGAAAGCAAGTAAACGCACGTTGTCTCATTAGCAACCGAGTTCTCCTCCTCTGCACATGGGAAGTGGGGGGGAGTTTATTAACTACAGCGAAGCAAGGGGAATGATGAAAGGCTTTGGTGAAAACCAGGCTGGGAGAGAGGTGGCCCTAGGGATCCTCCTGGGGAAAGAGAGGCCAGGAAAGGGCAAGGGTGGTCTGGGTTGCTGGAACTGGGGGGGGGACATAAGGTTTTCCTCCAGGGTAGGTGCAGAACAGACCCCAGGAAGGAGCAAGGTGCTGAATAGGGGAGACATAATGTTCAATGACATGGGAGGCGCAGAGGAGACCCCAGGAAGGGGTAGGGTGGTCTGCCTTGCTGCAACAGAGGGAACACAAGGTTTCTCACATGGAAGGAGCAGAGGAAACCCCAGGAAGGTGTAATGTGCTGGAATGGGGGGAGACACAAGGAATCCCCCCGAAAGGAAGGTGCAGAAAAGACCCCAGGAAGGAGCAAAGCACTTTGGCTTGCTGGAACAGAGGGACACAAGGTTTCCCCATAGGGATGGTGCAGAAGAGACCCCAGGAAGGAGCAAAGTGCTCTGCCTTGCTGCAATAAGGGGGACACAATGAGCCCCCTTACATGGAAGGTACAGAGGAGACCCCAGGAAGGAATAATGTGCTCTGCCTTGCCAGAATGGAGGGAACACAAGGAATCCCCATAGGAATGGTGCAGAAGAGACCCCAGGAAGGAGCAAAGTGCTCTGCCTTGCTGCAATAAGGGGGACACAATGAGCCCCCTTACATGGAAGGTACAGAGGAGACCCCAGGAAGGAATAATGTGCTCTGCCTTGCCAGAATGGAGGGAACACAAGGAATCCCCATAGGAATGGTGCAGAAGAGACCCCAGGAAGGAGCAAAGTGCTCTGCCTTACTGGAATAAGGGGGACACAATGAACCCCCCTACACAGAAGGTACAGAGGAGACCCCGGGAAGGAGTAATGTGTTCTGCCTTGCTACAATGGGGGGGGGGACGGGACACACAAAGAATCCCTATAGGGATGGTGCAGAAGAGACCCCAGGAAGGAGCAAAGTGCTTTGGCTTGCTGGAATAGGGGGGGGACACACGGTTCTCCCACATGGATGGTGCAGAGGAGACACCAGGAAGGAGCACGGTGCTCTGGGTTGCTACAATAGGGGGGACACAAGGAATCTCCCCCAAAAGAAGGTACAGAGGAGCTCTCAGGAAGGAGTTATATGCTCTGCCTTGCTGGAATGGGGGGGGAACACAAGGAAGGTGCAGAAAAGACCTCAGGAAGGAGCAGAGTGCTCGGGGCGGGGGGACACACAAAAGGAATCCCCACATGGAAGGTATAAAGGAGACCCCAGGAAAGAACAAGGCGCTCTGCCTTGCTGGAATAGGGGAGGGACACACTGAAGGTGCAGAGGAGACCCCATAAAGGAGCAGGGTGCTCTGGCCTGGGGGAAGGAGAGGGTAAGGCAAGCGGGTTGACACCTCCCCTCACGCCGCTGCCCCACTCTCCTTGGGCCCGGTCTCCCCTCCCTTCACGCCGACAGGCCGGACGGCCTGTCGGCGTGAAGGGAGGGGAGACCGGGCCCCACACACAGACACCATCGCCGCCCCGTTACCTGTGAGGCGGATCTTGATGCTGGAACCGTTCCGGCGGGTCCCGGGATTCGACATCGCGCTGGGAAGAGGAAGAGGAAGAAGAACGAGGAGGAGGAAGAGGAGAAGGAAGCGGTCTCAACCGGTAGCCCCTCGGCCCCCCGCCATGCGGGCCCGGCCGCTCCCCTCAGACACCGCCGCCACCGCCGCCGCCGCCGCCACCGCCCGGCCCGGGGAGCGCGCTGGGCACGCCCCCGCCCCACGCACGGCGGACGGCGGTGACGTCAACGCGCGGCACGGAGAAGACGAAGGGAGGCGCCATGTTGGGAAGGGCATGGGGGCCGCCATCTTGGGAAGGTCGGGGGGGGGGTAGGAGCTGTGTGAGAGGGGATGGCGCCCTCTGGTGGGGGGGAGGTGGAAGGGGAGGTTGGATGGAGGGGTGGTGCATGGGGTGATGGGGGTGTATTGGGGTGACATAGCTATGGCATGGAGGGTATATGGGGGTGACATGGAAGGTGGCATTGGGGTGACACAGTTATGGCATGGAGGGTATGGGGGTGACATGGAAGGTGGCATTGGGGTGACACAGTTATAGCATGGAGGGTATGGGGGTGACATGGAAGGTGGCATTGGGGTGACACAGTTATGGCATGGAGGGTATATGGGGGTGACATGGAAGGTGGCATTGGGGTGACAGTCATGGCATGGAGGGTATATGGGGGTGACATGGAAGGTGGCATTGGGGTGACACAGTTATGGCATGGAGGGTATATGGAGGTGACATGGAAGGTGGCATTGGGGTGACAGTTATGGCATGGAGGGTATGGGGGTGACATGGAAGGTGGCATTGGGGTGACACAGTTATAGCATGGAGGGTATATGGGGGTGACATGGAAGGTGGCATTAGGATGACACAGTTATGGCATGGAGGGTATATGGAGGTGACATGGAAGGTGGCATTGGGGTGACAGTTATGGCATGGAGGGTATATGGGGGTGACATGGAAGGTGACACTGGGGTGACACAGTTATGGCATGGAGGGTATATGGGGTGACATGGAAGGTGGCATTGGGGTGACACAGTTATGGCATGGAGGGTATATGGAGGTGACATGGAAGGTGGCATTGGGGTGACAGTTATGGCATGGAGGGTATGGGGGTGACATGGAAGGTGGCATTGGGGTGACACAGTTATGGCATGGAGGGTATATGGAGGTGACATGGAAGGTGGCATTGGGGTGACAGTTATGGCATGGAGGGTATGGGGGTGACATGGAAGGTGGCATTGGGGTGACACAGTTATGGCATGGAGGGTATATGGGGGTGACATGGAAGGTGGCATTGGGGTGACACAGTTATGGCATGGAGGGTATATGGGGGTGACATGGAAGGTGGCATTGGGGTGACACAGTTATGGCATGGAGGGTATATGGGGGTGACATGGAAGGTGGCATTGGGGTGACACAGTTATGGCATGGAGGGTATATGAAGGTGACATGGCTGTGGGATGGAGGGTGGCATGGAGCATAGGCAGGGGTGCAAGGAAGGCGGCATAGGGGTTCCTGGGGGTGACATGGAAAGGGGCATCGGAGTGACATAGTTATGGCATCGAGGGTATATGGGGGTGCATTGGGGTGACATGGATGTGGGACAGAGGGTGGCATAGAGCATATGTAGAGGTGCAAGGAAGGTGACATAGGGGTTCCTGGGGGTGACATAGTTATGGCATGGAGGGTATATGGGGGTGCATTGGGGTGACAGGGAAGGTGGTATTGGGGTGACATGGCTGTGGGATGGAGGATGACAAGGAGCATGTAAGGGTGCATGGAAAGTGGCATAGGGGTGCCTGGAGGTGACCTGCTAAGTGGCATTCAGGGAGGCATGGAGGGTGAATAGGGGTGCCTGGGGGTGACATGCAAGGCAGGAAATGCACCATTAGGCATAGAAGTGCTTTCAAAGAGACCCTGCCTCACCTGCACGAATTAACTGGGACCCGATTTGGGGCACACAGGCCACCATGGGCACCAGCAGCACCTTTCCCAGCTCTCCAGCGCTGGGGGGACCGAGGAGCCTCCTCTGGGGCCAGGACATGGGATGCTTTCATTAGGAAAGCTCCTTTCCTTGTGCATCTCCAGAGGGAGGTTTTGCTGCTCTGGGGAAGCAGCATCTCCCCTCGCTGGTCCCCATGGATACCCCAGACCAGCTGCAATCCCCAACCACCTCCTCCCCTCCCTTGCCCTGCAGCACAGGACATCAGCCACGCACCACAGCTCTTATGAAAAGGGGATGTTTTTGTCTCCAGTGCATTCAGGGCTACAGGGATGCTATTTTATTGCAGCTTGAGGACATGATGGTGGGAGCAGCTTTGGCCCCAAGGCTCCACACAACACCCTCTATTACAGGCTTATGCCAGCACACGCAAGAAAGCAGGACAAGCATCAAATGCCTCTGCACTTCCCCTTTTCTAGCTTGCTTTTAGTCAGCAGAGCATCATCAAACAGCAACTCAGGGTCAGCACTATCCCTTGGAAAAGCCCTATGGGATGCTCCACGCTGGACCACGGTCCAAAGGCAGGGCAGGCACACCGAGCTCAGCTCCGGTCCACATCTCCATTTACGCTGAGGAAGCACCTGCCTCAGATTCCTTTTACTTGGTGAAATCTGACCATTTCCAGATGCTGCATCAGCCAAGGGAAGATGCTCAGAGTCCTCCATGTTAACCCAGGGGCACACACAAAGCGTTTCCACAGGCACTGGGTTCAGGTGCATGTTCAGGCATTGCTTTATCGCAGCTTTAAGTGCATCATTTTGGATCCAAGAAGGGGAAAAAGAAGCAGGAAGCACTTTGTGATTCATCAGTTCCAGTGTTTAAGATTAACTAAGTGATACCCAGCTCTGGCGCACACAGGCAGGGCTGTGCATGCCTTGCAGGGCATAGAACACAACCAGGCTTTAACCACCTCCCTTTTCCCTAGGTGGTCTGGAGGAGACACAGGGCACCAGAGCTTGCTGCAAGCTGGCCCCAAGAGCCACACCACCTCCATCCTCACCTCCTGCTCAGCCTGCAGCTAGAGACCAAAGGGAGGTCTCCTCTCAGCAAGGACCAGTGACCTGCAAGGGAAACCTGCAATACGAGTCCTCAACATTAAAGGACAGCTCCAGGCAGAGCCAGATCATTGGCCTCCAGGCTAGTGGATAGCATCTGGGAAGGTGAAGCGGGAGGAGAACTGCTCCTGCTGCAAGAGCTGCCTCTGATGCAGGCTTCCTGCCCAAGCACTTACACAGCATCCAACCCCCAATACTTCACAGAGGCTGGAGTAGCACACAGGGATGACCATAACCCACCTGCTCCTGCCTGATTTCCTTCTCTGCTATAAGCATCCCCTCTCCCATGGAGATGATTTCACCTGCAGAAGGGTGAGCACCTCTTGAACAGCTTTTCAAAGCAGCTTCGGCCATGCCAAGTCAAGCCTAGAAGATCCCAGCTGGATGTGCTGCTATCCCTCTGCTCTCCGAGCAGCTTAATGCAGAAAGCTTTTGGCTGCACCCACCCCCAGAAACCATGCCCAGGAGCTCCAATAGGTTAAGACACTACGGAAAGAGTCTATACAGCTTGCAACAGCAACTTGAGAACAAAACCAAAACCAACTCAATGGCAAGAAGTACAAAGCCAGAAGTGCAATTTATTGATGAGTCTCACAGTAGAAAGACTCAGCATTTTTGCTCCTCTCAAGTTCAATGCCCAACACCTCCACCCACCAGCTCAGAGCCATGTAGTGCTTCATCTTCAGAAGGTGAAGCTCTGCTTCTCTGCTGAGGGATCATACAGTCCACCTTGGACTATGAGAGTCCAGACTCAACGCAGGTCTGAATCTACCTAGGAGGAAGTCAATTGCCATCAGTTAAAGGTTCTGCATCTTAAACCTAAGCTTTTTACACCAGAGCTTGCCTGAACCTTCCTATAGCAGTTTCCTTGCTTTAAGAAATACCCTGCTGCTCTAACAAGCTGTTGAGATCAGCTTGACTCTAGCAGGACCCCTGGAGACCAGACCCAGTCCTGTTTGTTACAGCACACTGGAGCTGCAGTGTCCCTGCATCTCACACAGAGAGCAGCCAAGTCTACAGGCTCAGACATTAAAGGCAGCAGGAAAGAGTGGCTGGAGTGGCAGAACTCACTCTAATTAAATAGCCTGCTTGGAACAGCAAGAGGCCAGGACTGCTTTGGAGATGTTGCCCTGGCATCCAGCCCCTCAGGCAGGTGCTGTGTGTAGGCGAACTTCCTCCATACCCTCACACAGGGACATCCCATAAACCCTGTTCTGGGCAGGGGACCAGAACAGACACTGGATGATCTTAAGGTCCTGTCCAACCTTAACTATTCTATGACTGTACTTGCTCCCTGCTGCTGCAGTTCATACCCAGACTAAGCCTTAGCTCCATGATCCGCCAGAGTACTAAGCCTCTTCCCTCACGTTTCCCCATCTGCAAGACGAAGGTTAGGAGCACACACAGCATCTGTGGCAGTCATGGGACTCCTGCAACTGCTCCATGGTGTCCTATTCCCTTTTTCCATAAGTCTGTCTGCATGAGAAGGGTCAAGTAATCCAAATGCAACCTGAGCATGGTTATCAGCCGAGTAGGAGGCTTCCATTCATAGTGACAAGCCAGCTCAGCTCTGAAGGAGGAAACTTCTCCACATTTGGTATTCACATCAGCAACTGCAATAGCTCCAGCTGATGCCAGTTTGAATTCCAGCAGCAAGATACTATCAAGGCACCCCTATCTGCTGTGCAACTCCTCAGCTGACAACTCAGAGCTTTTAGAGACCTTTAAAAGCAACTGGCACAAGCTGCAAGGACTACTCCAGTCATGTAGAGGTCCCTTCCAAGAACTTATCCTTAAAGCCTGTGCTTCATTTCAGTGTACAACAGCTTCCTATTTCCAGGTGAGAGACAGCAAGAGCTCACATACCTCCCCAGAGAAGTATTTCTCTATGATGTTCAGGGCAACTTGGCAGACAATTTTGTTGTCATGGATCTGCAAGGCTTCCAACTTCTCCAGACCATCAAGCTTCTCCACCAGCAGACACAACCTCTCTGTCTCTCCCAGCTTCTCAGCTGCCTGCAACATCAGATAAGACAAGCAGGGAAATACACCCTTACCTCAGTAACAGGTTTGAGATGGTCTTTACTGTAAGAGAAGTCAAAGGGAAACAGTCCCTGCCTGATCCCAGGGATGTGACTACTGCATCTACAGAACACCAGTCCCTGCTGGGATTACTGATGGTTAGCCAGACCCTACCCAGTCCCTCAATCCACACATGGAGAAGCAGCAGATGTGACCTGCCACCCACTACTTCATTTGCAGAAGTCACTGCCCTGAGTTAAATGTGCTACAAGAAACAGGCTTTCAATTACATAGACATCAGCTGGCAGGGAGCAGAGCTGAAATACCCCCAGGACCACTTGACTCCTCTGCAGTTGCATTTCTGCAGGGCCTTCACTTCCATCCAGCTCGGGGATTAACACAAAATCCCTCTGCCTTTCCAGAAGGAAAAACTAAAGTCATAGAGGTGAAGAGGAGCACTTTGGGAACTGCATCTTCTCAAGGTCTTTAGACAACCCAAGAGTGTCCAAGAACATATTGGACAACTTGAAGCCTACCTCTTACTCATGCAAGAGCAGCAGCTGCTGTTTAACCACACAACATGAGCATTCAGCTCACACCTTGCTGCTCTTTTGGAGAGGGAATGCAAGAGATGGGAATCTTACCAGGAAGAGATTTGAAATGGTATCCAGGATAACCAGGATGGTTTTGCTGTCCTTAGCCAAAAGCAGGTTGAGCAGAGGTTTGAGGACCCCAGACTGGACGAGCTCCACTATCTGCTCCACAGTTCCTCCTGTTGTGAAGTTGGCTACTGCCCATACAGCTTCCTTCTGAGCATTGAAGTTCCCCTGGAAGAGCAGCACAGCGAGGACACCCCTGAGCTTCAGCATTGCCCTAAGATCAGTGCAAGGTGAGGGAAACCATTTCCCTTCCATTCAGCTTGGACTGATCCACCTTCCCCAGCTCCTTGAGCAGTGGGTGAACACTTGGCAGAGCTGCCAAAGAGCAGCTCTGATCTATGCTTTCATGCATGTGGACAAGTCCAAGCTCTTCCCAGGATCTCCACAGCTTTGAAAGACGTGCTTGGGTATATGAACAAGTGCTTCACAAGTGAGGCATCACAAACCCCAGCTACATACAACACTGCACCCATCCCTTACCTTATCAAGCAGCTCCACCAGAGGAGGCAACAACCCACAGGTCAGGAGTTGCTGGATCTGCCAGCAAGGCCCTGCTGCGATGTTACTGAGCATCCAGGCTGCTTCCTTCTGTATGGTTGGCTTTGCATGTTGCAGGAGATGGGGCAGGACAGCCAAGACACCAGCATCGATAGCTGCCTGGGTCTGCTCGTTAGTCCCTGTGACCACATTCCCAACAGTGCGGAGAGCTGGAGTCTAGACAGAGATTAAGGGAGATAAGGAGAATCCTTACCTCAAGGGATACATGCCAGAAAGTCCAGAGAGATTCCTCACTAACTGCTTGATCCTTCAAATAAGGAGAGCATTGTCCTCCTGGTTTTGCTGTAAGCAGCCTTACAGTTTCTATCCAGAAAGCTGGAACAGGGCAGTGGCTTGACAAACAAGCCATTAATGCAGTGTGATGACAGCAGACCACACTTGCCACATATAAGCAAGAGACATTCCTTCCCTCTCCTTACATGTTCCTACATTAAGGGACCAGAGGCTGGAGATTGCTGATTGTTTCCTACCAAAATGATCAGCTCTGGGCTGGCCATGAGTTCCACCAGCCGTGGGAGAATCCCTGTATCCACCACAACTTGGATGCGGTCGTTGGAGCCATCGGTCAGAAAGGAAGTGGCCCAGCAGGAGTCGGAGATGACTTCATTGTCCTCATGGTCCAGGAGGCAGATGAGGGCTGGCAGCATCTTCTGCACTGCATCCAGAGGGGGATAGGGGTTCTTGTGCCTACAGAAGTTTGAGAGTGTCCACGTGATATTCCTCAGGAACCAAACCTGAAACACAGAGGTGCAAGATCCTGGTTGCAGTAACAAGTGAGGAAGAGGTAGCACCATGCTGCTGGTCCCTGCACCTAAGAGGAGTTACCCAGGAGCCAGAAGCAGCCTCCTTAAAGGCTGAGGCTCATTTGAAGAGGGAGAATAAAACAGGTAAGTGACTAAGACACTGGATTCACCTTCTTCTTCCCCAGTATTAAGTTCCAGTAACTTCAGCTCTGGCTCTGCGACAAGCTACTACAACAAAGGTGCCAAACAACTTATCTGCTGGGTCCTTGGACAAATTACAGGACATTCTTCAGACACAATCAGGAATTTACTGTTTAATATTAGCACCAATAAGTATTATCAGCTCATTGTTCTAGAGAGGGACATCTCAAGGATTTGATGAAGTTCATCCCAGTAAGGATGCTCCAGGAGAGCCATGGGGCTATGTTCAAAGCATTGAAGCTCTAAGGTGTCTATAGCTTGTATATAGCTGAGAGGTGAGGTCATTAACAACAGTTTAGGACAGGGTGTCACCCATCATACAAACAGCTTGTTGTTTATAAGGCATCACCACAATTCACCCATTCCCCAAGTGATTAAGAGCTGTTAGGTCAAGAAAATGCAGGTTATTTACTGGAGTTGCAGGAGACACCAGAGCCAGCAAGGGAGGAAGCGCGTTGCAGTTGATAAGAGCATCTCTGTACAGAGGACCATCACCTGTGCAGATGAAAAAGTGTTGTTTACTGTATCTGCCCATGTCAAAAGCCAGTTAACAAACAGCAATGCAGGCACGGGCCAGGGCTGGGTGACCAGGCTCACTCACCAGCCACACACCATCAAGCCCTTTCAGGTAGACTGGAGTGCCCTCATGGCTGGTTTGTGGCAGGTTAACCATCCTGTTCTCCCTACTGACAACAGGAGTGGCTTAGACCAGCCCAGCAGAATGGAGTATTGCACTTGCCCTTGGCCAAAATCTTCTTGCAGACTAACAGAGGGTCTCAAAGGCTACCAGGGACTGCAAGGTTTAATAGGGGCAGCAGCTTGCAGACAAAGCTGCAAGGAGACAAGGCTACCTTGAAGAGCACCAATACTTTCAGGTCCCCAGCACAGCCTGTGCAGTGACTCTCTGCATGCCCATAACCCAGGCCTGGAGACCTCTCCTTACCTGCAATGTTGCCCAGAGCCCACACAGACTGCTCACTGATGTGCATGTGTGGGGAGGACAGCAGGGAGATGAAGGCTGGGAGGGCACCTCCCTCCACCACTGCCTTGGTGTGTTCCGAGGTGCCAGCAGCGATGTTAGTCAGTGCCCAGGCAGCTTCAAACTGCAGAGGAGCATTGTCAGCATAGGTGAGGAATTCAACCAGCCTGGGGATGATCCCCAGCTCGATGATCTCACTGATAGGGGGGTCCTTCCTCCTGGACAGCAGTCTCCTGCAGGAAAAGGACACAGCACTGAGAATCCCTGTGTGGTTCCAGGATAGATCAATACCCTGTGGCCAGGACCAAAGTTGTGGCTTGCAAGGGAAGCATCACCTGTAAGAGATGCTAGTTCAGCATCCCATGTCAGCAAACCCTCCAGCAGAGGAGTTGCCATAGAGAAGCTTCTGCAGAAGACACATCTAAGACAACGCTGAAGCAACAGCAGGGTTATTAGAGGAAAGGATACGTGAAGCGTTGCACTCAGAGCGCAATACTTCAAATGTACTTTTGGAACCATGACAACATTATTCCATGCTTCCTGCTATGCAGGAGTTTAAGACAGGGAAAAAGCAGCACCTGTTATTTGTTCTCTTAGAGCCTGCCTTTGCTGCTCCCTGGCTCAGGAGCCCTGCACAGGCCAGAGCTCGCATTTAAAATGAGGCTTCCCAAGTGACCTAGCTGTCACTTGCCCCTTTCAGGCTGGACAAGGCAGACTCTTCCCCTGTTAACAGCTTGGAAGCAAAGCTTTTTTATTTGCTCACCGTGAGCAGAACATCCCCACAGCCATTGGGAATAGCACTGGTCCCCTGGGAATAGCACATGGGCTGATTGCTGATGTGGCAGCTCAAGCCAGCACCAGCAGTGATGCAGCCTCTCCTGAACCCTCCACAGACATCCCTGCTGCAAGCTGGGTGATAGTGGCACCCTGTGATCCTTCCTACCCTCCTGGGTAGGGACAGCCCTGCTCAGCATGGACCCTTCCAGAGCCAGGCTCCCCGGTCTTTGACCTGCCCACGCATTTGGCACTTGATTTCTTGTGGGATCCAATGTGATCCTGCACAGGCACAGGACCCACAGCCAGTCCCTTGCTTGGGCCCAACCACACAGGTCCACAGCGCTGCCCAGGAATGTGATGGAGCCAGGCAAGGTACAAAGCAGGCACCGGGTGAGGTTCCTCAGGGCAGCTGGGCTTAGCAGGCACCTTCCCCTTTGTCATCTCTTCAAGCAGGAAGAAACACCTTCTGCCAGTAGAACCCGCTGCAGCCCCACCAGCCGCCTCCCTCCCAGCACAGGGCAGCCCAGCAGCATACCTGGTGGCCTGCGTGGCCTGCAGCTGCAGCTCACTGTCACTCCCATTCACACCTTGAAGGATTTCCTCCAAGGAGAGGAGAATGATCTGTGGCACAGGGATGATTCAGAGTCAGAAAGCAAGCCAGGGCTCCCCCCACTTTAATCTCCAGAGGCAATCAGCTGTCTAGACCCAGGTCAGTCACCACTTCATATCTAAGCAATGTCTACTCTTTATGCAATGCAGTTTCGAGATGAGGCAGAGGAAGAGAATCCACAAAAGCCTTCAAGGCAACTAATGCTTATAATCAAGCACAGGGGAAGAGTCACTGACACACCATAACGGGTCTATGGGCTCAGTAATTACCCCTCACTGCACAGGGAGCCAGACAGGAGCTCCACCAGCTCCCAGCAGCACCAGCCTGTTCTACCTGCCATCAAGGGAAGCCACACAGGACATCATCTCCATGCAAAATAACATGGTCAGGCAGGGTAAAACACTCCCAAGCACAGCACGGAGATCAGGAATGGCACTGGCTATTTAACCCAGATCATCTGGTCTAACTCGCACAAGCTGCAGCAGTGATCCTGCCTGGGTGCAGAGCACCCAGTACTCACCTCATGTCTTTCATCTTCTCTTGTAGAGAGATTCCTCTCCATCTCAATTTCATTTTGTTCAATGTTCCTGCGCTTCAAGATCTGCTCATCCTTCTTGGCCTTCCGCAGCTCAACTATCACCTCCACTCTCTGCCTCCGCAGGGCCTGGAGGGAAGGAGATGGACATCAGCCCACTGGTATCTGCATCACCCAAGGAGTTTATCTCTGCTCAGCTCTGTAACCCCCTTCCTCAAGCTTCCTACACAAGAAGTGCAGAGAACCACCATCTGCTCTTGGGCAGCTCCCTGCTATGGCCTGGGGGGGTTATAGAGGAGATGGGACAGAGTAAAACCTCTCCCTTAGTGCTTCCCAAGGACACGAGCTGCTGGATGAACCAGTGGGTGCATTTGAAAGTAGATCTGTTGAACCTTAAAGGCAAACCCTCATCTCCTCTAATGGCTTAAAGCAAGCTGACAGATCCTGTGGTCTGACATCCCATACTCGGTAACAGGGATAACTGCTGCAGAGAGCTCAGCAGGCTGGAGCTGAACCAGCTCCAGTCACCCACCCAAAGCTCATGTTCCCCACACTCCTTGCAGCCCAGCCAGCTCCACAACACATCCCAAAGCTGGCCGAGCATCCCCAATACAGAGCCACCACACACGGGTAGGTTTGGGGACAACTGCCCCTCAGAAGCCTTTCCATCACCTCCTGGCTATAGGCAAATCCCCAGTGGGCTCTGCTGTTGTCTGAAGGGGGTGCTGGAGGTGGGTACTTACAGTGGGGTCCTTGCCTTTGTTCTTGAACTTCCTCAGCCTCTCATTGTGCTTGATCAAAAGCGACATCTTGGCAGGTTGGAGCAGCCAGCCAAAAGCCTTCTTGTGCTGCTGGGGTTCAGGACAGAGCAGGGTCAGGCCACAACTGCACAGCAGCCTCCACCTCAATCCACAGCGGGGTCTGGGACCCCTATCTCCCACCAACAGCCTGCACCACACATCCCCTCCCACCAGCAATGGAGAGGCTGGGGGTTCCCTGCACTAAGCTGAGCTCAGAAGGATCCTCACATACTGCAGCCGAGCTGAACTAAATGCAAGCACTTAATACCAGGCTATAAGAATTACAGCTGCTGCTGTAGTCCATGGGGAAACCTCCTCTCCCCACTGCTTTCCATGGTTATAGTAACACCACCTCCCTCCTGTCCTGCCCCAGGGCTATCAGACACACAGCTCAAGCCTGGCGAAGGCCTTTTGCCTCCAAGGACATCTTAAGGTCTGATTTAAGGACAAGCAGCCATATCCAAGCCTACTCTCTCACCCCAGAACCACCACTAGGAAAGACCCGAGGTCGCATGCAGTGACCAAGTTCAAGCAAACAGAGTTCTCCTGGAAACCCAGCTTCTGGTAAGGTGAAAAACATTAAATAGGAGCAAGTAAAGATTAATTCCTAAGCCTCTCCCAGCAAGAATCACAGAGCTACTCACAAATAAAGCCCAGAGCAGGCACTCAGACAGCTTTCATCAGCAAAAGCAAGCCTTCCACCCTTCAGAAGAGAAAGGGTTTGCAGAGCAGCCACCACCAAGGCCTCCCTAAAGCCAGGCTGTGCATAAACACACTCAAGGACTGATCACACACAGCTGCTGCCTCTTCACCTTCCCTCCAGGCTTCCAGCCAACACCTCTGGCTCAGAGCAGCCTCCAAGTGCTCCCCTTAGCCCATCTTGTTAAGGTTTTGGTGGGGTTTTTTGTCCTCTTTCCTGTACCAGCAGCAAGGCTGGATCCCAGCAGCATCAGCTCTTTACCCCAACACCCCCAGGCACCAAGCTGCAGCCATCCCCCAGCTCACAGAGGGGATGAGCACCTCTTGGCTCAAGCTGATGACACCCCACAGCATTAAGTCCTCAAGTTCTGCTTCACCCTCCATTCCTCTATTTCCCCTCCAACAAAGGACAGCAACATCCTAAACAGCCTCTTCTTTTTGGGGAGTTTCCTCCACCCCTAACTCAGCAGAGGTGCACCATGCTGACACCAGCCAAACAGCCAGGAAATCCCACCAGCAGCCCAACACCCATTATAGGGTAGAAAGGAACAGACAACCCCAAAGAGGAGCATAAACCACTCACCCCAACACCCTCATACCCCATCATACCCTCAGCTGCCTCTTTTATTGCCCCTAAGGAGCCACACACCCTCCCTTCCCAGAACACTCATGTTATCTCCAGCTGCTCCCTTGCCATGCCCAACTGGATGCACCTGGAGGAGAATGGATGGTGCTGGAACACGCTGCTCACCTTCCCATACCTCTGTGGCCAGACCCTTTGTGGAAATGCACCCATTCAATGTCCTGTGATGCTGGGGACAGAGACCCTCAATGGCAGGGGGTAGGAAATAGGTGATCTCTAAGGTCCCTTCCAACCCAAACCATTCCATGATTCTATGATTCAACAGCAATCACACACCAATCCTGGGGCTGCTTGCAGAGCCTGTCCTCCTGCCCAAGCCACTGCTCCATCCCATAGGGACAACAGCATCCCTGCCCTCGAAACAACCCCTCACAGTGGGGCTTGGCTACAGCACTGTGGGTAGTTCTGGGGACTCAGAAGTGCTGAAGGCAGCTGGGTTGTGCAAACCCTTCCAAGCCATCCCCCTTGTTAGCAAAACCCTGTAAACCCCACTCCATGTGTGCAGAGCATGGAAATACCTATGGAAATCCACTGTGCAATAGCAGGGCTGCTCTAAGTCCTGGATTCCAATCCCAGGCTCCTACCAGTTCTCCCTTTAAGGCAAATGGAATGAGTCGTGAGAAGCTTCATGCAGAAGCTGATGGTGGGAGGTTTAAGAGAAGACCTTTGGCTGAATCTGTTCTTTGTGGGCATTACAAAGTCAGTTGTGCTACTCCCAGATGCTGCATCTTCAAGCTTCAAGCGCCCCTGGTTGCACGATCTTCTTTCTTGGCTGCTTTAAGGCAGGAAAATTACATTTCAATTGCTTTTTAATTCATCTTAATCTGGTGCAAAAGTTACTGTGCACCCTCTTCATTTGGTTCTCCTAATTCCTGATCACCCAACGCTAAGTGAAAGCAGGCCTGGCTCAAGCTGAAATAAGTGAACCCTTGCAACCTTTCATAGTGATTTAACTACACTGGCTTAAAATCACACCCTAAGACAAGTGGGGCAGCCCCTGGCATTTCCTTCCCTCCTTGCCCAAGGAGCTGCAGGGTACGAATGTGCAACAGGGCTGTGAGATATTTATTGTTATCCTGGGCTGCTCTTTCTCTCTCTGCCCTTTGCATTCCCTCCCTACCTGCCAAGCACAATCTCCATCGTGTTCACTCCTCTGTCACTGCCAGGGAGAGCTAAAGAGGCGTCGGTTGATTAGCAACCCCCATCCTTGGCCTTTGCTTCAGTCCCTGATGGCATGAGAGGTGGCACCACGAGTGCTCAGCCCCACTAGCAGGCAGAGGATGAGTTGTGCTCATTTCGACCCATGCTCAGGACACGAGCAGATCGATATGTGCCGAACGGGAAAGAGAAGAACCTGGAGGGGAAAAAGAACCCTGTTTCAGTTCCAGCATAATAAAAGGGTATCACAGCTAATGGAGAGGAAAGGAGATAACCCCCTAAATCTACATGACAGTGTCCCCTGAGCTCAGCCTTGTGTGCTGAAGCTGAAAATCCACATGGTGACAGGTATGAAAAGCCATGGTTCCAGCCCAGAGGTTTTCTCTGTGGCTGCTCTCTCCCACCCTGGCACCCTTTGTCCCAACATGCTCCCACCGGGACACTGCAGCTTTGGTGCATGGTGGCAGATTTGAAAGCACCACTTCTAAGCCCTGAGACAAAAGCATTGATTTTTCCTCCTCTGTTTTTTTTTTTCATGTCTCTTTAATAGGTTTACCCTTGCTGCATAATGGTCAGGGGAGATGTCAGTGTGTGGCATCACTGTGATGGGGTTAGATGAGGCAGGGGCAGCCCAGGCTCCACCAGTAGGTGGTTGCAGCAATCCCTGTGTGAAAGGAGAACCTCAGCTGGCAGAGGTAGGGATTCCTGCCAGCAGCCCCCTGCCTGTCTGCTCTCAGTGTATTTGCTCCATCAGCTCTAATGCAGTCCATTAAATTAACATCAACACATTAATTTCACTTATTAGTTACACTTCCACCAAGGAAATAACCATGTGGGCTCCTGAACTAGCTGCTGAGCTAATGAGGGGCAATTCCCAAGTGTGTCAGGGATGGAGCCTGGAAATTCCTCCTTTTCCAGTTGGGATGCAGTGGTTCCTGGTGGGGAGGCAGACATCAGGCAGCTGGTGACCTCCCCACTGCCAGCCATTAGACTCATTTCAGTGCTATTGTTCATGCAGCAGGCACGGGTGTGAGCTGAGATCAGAGCTGCATTGTACCAGGCACTGAACAAGCACATAATAAGTGACAGCCCCCGTCTGTCACAGTCTATCTAATCAGGACATGCAGAAGGTGGGAGAAGGGATTTATTGGTAGCCCTGTCTTAGTGCTGAGCCAGAGGCAAAGCTCAGCATCGCAGCTGGATTTTCTGAGGCTCAAGGTGCAGCTTGTTGTTTCTCCTAATTTAGTGTTGCAGCCTCAAAAACAGTGCTCCTGCTTTTCTCTCCCTCCTCTGCTTTGCTTTTCTCTTGCTCCCCTGCTTTTCTTCCCCAGTTCCTCTGTAGCCAGGGAGCCATGGGGCTGCATCAGTCCAGACAGCTCATTTGAAGGGAAAGCAACCCACGGAAATAAAGAAAGAAGTATGGTTTTCCATCAGTCCTGTTGAAACAGCCATGGGATTGCTATTGCTGGTAGACAAGGAGGAGAGGTGCCCCTGAGGGAGGGAAGCAGCATCACATAATGCATTGCCCAGCATCACATTGTGCATTGCCAGCACTTACGGCAGGCTGGGCCAAACTGGTCCTCAGTCCAGTGCCCCATCCCTGTGGTCAGTACAGGAGTGACCCAGGGCTCTATGGTGGGGTAGCACCAAGAGGAGGGAAGCCTGTTTTAAAGGCAGCTTAATTTGCTCCCCAAAACCTGGGAATGTGGCCTGTTGAAGTGGGTTGGATAAATACAAACCCTGCTGTGCTGTGGGACATCTCCAATCCCATAATCCTTGTGCAAGTTTGCCGCTCAAGTTATTTGGTTGAGCAAACAGACTGTTCATGCCTAATACTTCCATGAGGTTACGTGGACCAGAAAGCTCATCCTTCTGTGTGGCGCTTCCCAACACAAAGTGTTCTTCAGTGCCTTTTTCCAGCCAAGAAATGGGATCACTCACTCACAAATGTAGATGCTGAAAAGGAAAAGAAGAAAAAGTCACATTGATATTGTACAGAAGAGATCTCTATTTATTAATAGAGGAAAGAAATTCCATTCTCCTTAATTCCCAGGGAATTCCCTTGCAGGAAGACAGCTTGTAAAGCAGGGAACACCACAAAGTGTAACTCCAAGCGATTATCCCATCAGCTGGACTGGAGTCAGTGGAAGCTCCCATGGAGCCCAGGGAGCCTTGGGAAGGAGAAGAGCATCCGGGCTGGAGCAGGAGTTCTGGGAGCGTTTTCCCACTTGGCAAATGCAGCTGTTGGCGTTCCTCGGGCAGTGTAAGAGGATGCCCCAGAAAGCCAGGGTTTGTAACTCCACACTGAACGTTAAGGAGCTAATTTTAACTTCTAAGCCATGGAGGGATTAGAGGAGCAGTTTTTGGAATTACTTACAAATAACAGCAGACTTAATCACAGCTCTTTATTAAAGCCATTTCCTCTGTCAGCGAAGGGACTCCCATTGATGCAGCTGCAGCAACTCTCACCACCAGGGCCAAAAATCCTACTTTTCATTCTTCTTCCTAATGGAAAAGTATTCTTTTAGTCCCTGAATCTGTAACTCGAAGAACTGGAACACAGGAATCTGAAGTGAATTTGGGGATGAGACATGTCAGAGTGAGGGAGAAACCTTGGAATTACTGAAAAAGCCACACGATTTTGTATAAATCATGTGTGATCTTGCTCCATGGCACCCAGTGGGAGAAAGGTGCTCTCTAAAGGAGTGAAGTAGCTTGTAAAGTATCTAAGGAAGAGAAACTCCATGAAAACACCAGGAAAGCCACAGAAATCATGGGGTCTGGAGCCTCTAGATGCCACTCTGGTGTCAGGGAGTCCATGGAAAGCTTAATCAGCTGCGGAGATGAGCTCTCCCATTCTCCTGCTGCCATTTCCTTGGTGGGGAGGGCATCTGGATACTCACCTCACTCCAGAGCATCTGATTATCACAGCTGAGGACAACATTCCAACAGAAGTGGGCTTCTTTTTGCTTAGAATATGTATTTAGGGGGCTTTGTTTGGAAGCCATGCTTAGGAAATGCTAACAAGACGATTCAACATGCACATTCCACCTGATCTTAGGAGCTGAAGATAGCTTTGTCGTACTGGAAGGGACAGATCCAAGGAAGGTGCTGGGATGGGGCTGGGATTCAAGGCCTTTTTGTGGGTTGAGGCTGGCCCACTCCCATTGCCAAGGCCTGGGAGATGATCCCTGTCCAGGATGAGGTTGTGGCTCCCAATGGTCTCTGGCTAAGCCTAAGGATTTGGTTGGAGAAGCAAGGTAGGATGGACAGGAGGGGACGGGCAGGTGCCATTACCTGTTACTCCCCATTCCCTTCCAGATCTGGGCAGAGACCCGTTTATGGACTGTTAACACCCCTCTGCTGCTGGCAGACACAGCCAAACCCCGGTGGGACACTTGGCTTCACCCTCTGTCCATCTGGTCCACCTAGGGCAGAGACAACACAGCTCTGTGTCGCTCCATGAGCTCAAGTGGCCAAAGTCTGTGCCATGGCTTAGACATTCTCAACCTTGCCAACAGTCTGATACCACATACCAGAGGTTTCAAGGGATCTTTTTCCTCTCTTTTTCCTTTAAAAAACACCCCTTCAGAAGTTCTGGGGCTGTTAGCTTTGCCTCCATCATTCCTTGCATTAAAAGAGTGCTACGATTGAAAAGCAGAGCGCTGAGAAGTTAAGGCACCAGAAAGGCAGACTTGAACTTGCCTTTCATGCACGTACACTTCCCCGTGGAGTTTTTGATCATACAACTGCACAGACTGTCTCCTGCAGGACCTGTGACTCACGGGGCACCCACTGGGATCTGACAGTACTTGACATTGTCCCTGTCAGACCCTCAGAGCCTCACAAGCCCTTGTTTGGTTAAGAGACTGGTTGTGTCTCTGCACAGCCAAACCTCTCTGATACACTGATCCTCCCCAAACAAGCACAGACAACAGCTGAGAACGAGGATGCAGCTTTCAGCACAGAACCACCATTATTCTTGAAATGACTAATAAATGCAAACCCATCTTGCAGGCCTTTAAATAACCCTGCGATCCTGCAGCAGTTTTCTGCTCTGGATACCATTCCTCCCCTAACCATTAAAGATCAGTTTGCTGCTGCTACTGAAATGCAACCCTGAAAGGCAGCATCTGAACCGAGCTCCTTGTCACTACAGCACAAAGGTTGTGCTGCCCTCCTCCACTTACAACCTCCTTCTCTGTGACTAGGAATGCCACTGTGGACGCACTTTGTTTAGCCTGGGATCCCTGGCAGCACACTAAGAGGGAGAGACCAAAGCCTTTCTTCCATGTTGTCTGTATTATATGGGCTGGTTTGCCCCTTATCTGGACACCACTCTCCAATGTGAAACATACTTTTGCTCCCCATCCCTTCAGGTGACAAGGCTGGACTCTGGACTCAGTCTCACTTGAAGGTGATGAAGAAACCTGTGTCAGGGCAAGAAACTGTCAGGCAAACATCCTGCTTACCAGACAACTCCCTCCCCATGACCCGCTGCGTGCAGAGCTTGCTGTGCAGAGCTTGCTGTGCAGTGCTCCCAGGACACATCTCTGCACAATGGCTCCTTCCTTTTCTAAGAGAACCTTCAAAAACCTCCTTAATAATGGTTGCAATGGGATGTGGTTGGATGAACCTGGGACAACCCAGGCTGTCACAGCAGCATTTACAGAGCAGTGATGTGCTGGAGACCAGCGTGGCCAGGCGTGATACAGAACAGGGCTATGGGAACTGCCAAGGAGAGTTCATTAAACTCAGCAACAGGCATCCTACTTATCAGGAAGCAACTTGGCTCAGTCCTACCCATTGCTGATGTGTCCAGGGGCTGAGTGAGCTCGCAGCTATTTAAGGTTTGCCATTTTGACCTGCCTCACTTCATAGAGGGATCTGGTTGCTCCCTTTGCAGCTCGCTCCTCCTATGCAGTCAACACAGCCACTTGAGCACGTTACACACGAGTGAACAGGTCAGAAGCCAGTATTTATCTGATGCCTTTCACATCTATTTGTGTGAGAACTGGTGACAACCTTCACTCACAGATCCAAGGGCTGAAATTATTACCTACAAATGCCCAGAAAACATGACTTGCTCCGGATACATTCCTCAGAAGTTAATCACAATTCCCAATATTCACTCAGACTCAGGCTGGCCAGGGTTTCTGTGGTATTATTCTGCTCCTGACGGGACATGCTGAGTTCTTAGAATCAGCTTTTCAATGTGAATAGTCAGGTACAAATTCAAGAGGTGGGTGTAACGTGAACGCTCTCATTTTCACCTCAAAGCAGCTGTTTTATCTTCATCTGCCTGCTCTATTCCAAGTGTATTCACCTGAAACACCCACAATGGCAATACTGCAGGGTAGCCACATCGCAGACTCCAGCTGAGGCAAATAGAGCAGGGAAATACTTGAAGCTGATAAAGAAGTTGTCTTTCAGGGCAGTTGAGCAACTGAAACAAGCATGACTGTGACACAACCACAGCCTTTTCCTCTCTGTTTGCAGTTAAGACACAGAATTTATCCATCAGAAACACAGGGCTTAGGAATTACTTTCAAATACAACCTTCGTTCCATCACCAACGTGGCTGCTCCTGCCAAGGATTCAGCCTGTGTTTTATCTGCCAAAGATCAGGTCCTCTCCCTGATGAAATCCATCACTCCACCTTGGCAAGAGGGGCAGAGCCAAAGGTGTGCTTCTGAATGAAGGCTTCATTCAATGGTCTTTCTATTTCAGCCTCTTGTCCCTATACTCCAGCAGCTGAGTTCCTAAAACACCCTATAAGGAAAGACAAGGAGAAATCCCCATGAAACAGAGCATTACCCAATTATCTCCTGAGGGATCAAAGCTTTCTCAAGCAGGCTCCCAGTGCTAGAGTCCTCTGAACTTACCCATAAGGAATGTGGTGTCTCTTAAAACATTAAGTGCTGGCTCAGGCCCTCTGAACAGCTAGGAAGAAGCCTGGCCAGCCCTTCCAAACATGCATTTCCAGGATCATGGGTTTAGCCTGGTAAGTACTTGTGTGGGATACTGGGAAGAGGTCTGGATAGGAGACCAGGAAGGATCAGGTGGCAGAACTTGCAAGCAGAGGTAGAAAGAGACAAGGACAGTGCCTGGAGGTGTTCCTAAAGCCCGTCTGGCTTTATACTCAAGTGTGTTTTATAACAGGTAGACTTGAGCTCAAAGGTATTTTAGCCATAAGTTTATTAGATTCCATGTGATTCTGGGGGGAATGAAATTCAGGAATTGTTGGCATGGCCTCACCACTTCCTTGACCTATGGCTTTTGGGACTACATTTATGCCTAAGCTTTTATAAACGTGTATTGTCTCTGGGTACCAAAACAACACAGTCAAGGGCTGCCTTTGGAGAAGCACCAGCCACTCCTATTGACTTCACACTGAAAGGCCAGAATAAAACAGACCTCCTGGAGGTGTTTTGTCTTCCAAAGACTGGACTGACAATGGGTGGACAACTCTGAAGACTGAAGTAGTTGTGCCTCAGTTTCCCCTTGTAGAAGGATGGTGACACATAAAGGATTTGAGGTTCCAGAAAGGTCTGAGACCTGCCCCCAAGAAACCCTGTTTGATGAATGATCTGCATTGATCTTCTCTAGGTGCTTGGTTTTCCATTTCAGTGATGTGCTCCACGTACCATGCTAGTCCATGTATTTCAGGGAGGTGTCAGATAAAGCATAGACCTGAGCCAAGTCTTAAATATACATTGCAACTCCAGACATGTAAAACCAGCAACTCTACGGATTTACCTGTATAGATTGAGAGGGGAAATAACTGCTAAGCTGTTATAGTTCCATATCTCTGCCTGATCTTAGGGGGAATGGACGGAGGAAGGTTCCTCCTTTCCTGCTTTGTGGTTGAAGTTCATCCCAGAGCAGCAGTCTGCAATTGACAGTGTTACACCAGGGCCTTCTGAAGCCCTGAAACCCATTTCCAAAGGTGCAGCCCTGCTGCCTCGGAGTCCTTGCACCCATCATTTTTAGACCATCAAGGTTTGCAGGAGGATGGTGTGAAAATGACACCAGAAGGATGAGGCCAACGCTGTTCCTAACCAGTGCCAAGCTATTCTGACTTCAGCCCAAGCAGCAGCCTCCAGACCCTGCTGGGAAGAAGTCCCCAGCACCCCCCAAGGGCTTCTCCCACTTACCCCAGACTAACTCCAGTGCAGACGGCTGTGACTCACAAGGCTGGCGCGAAGCATTGCTTGGGGCTGTCATCATAGGGCTGTAGAGCTGGAACCAAGAGCAGCCCCTGACCTGGGCAGCGTGTCCACACTGCAAAAGAAACCACAGCAGAGCCCGTGTTCCCTTTAATCTGTGCAACCCACAGTGATGAAATCAGCTCTGCCTCTGCAGGGAGCAACGGGTCGAGCAGGTATTGCAGGTCCCCAGGAGGCATGTCTTTAGGTAGCTGGACACTGACAAAGCCAACTCACCATCAGCAGTCTGAGTGTTGCCTTGACAACAGGAAAGCTAGTTCAGATGTGTGGGTGAGGGAAGGAAGAGGCTGCCTGGCGTGTGGGACATTGGCTGCTCCCAACATGGAACAAGCCTCCCAAAATACAAAGCCCTGGGATATGAGTCATGTCCTTCAACTCCCCTGCTCCCTCCTGTGGGATGTGGTATGGTCTGAGCTTGTGACAAGGGTGAAAACCACACATAGGCACAAGAAGCTGATGTGCCATGGACATTCCTGGATGATCCTGGTGGCTTTTGATGGATGAGGACAGGAGATGATGATCCAGGTCCTCCCTTTCAGGTTCCTCTGAGCCCCTTTTACAGCCATGCCTCCATCGGTGCTATTCTGCACACTGCTGTAGCCTTTCACACTAAGAGGGTTTATGCCCATACTGCATAGGAGGCGTCTGCACAGGGGTTGCCTGAGAAGCCCTGCAGTTGCTCTGACTTAGTGCTCTGGCAACCACAGAAAACAACCAACACCCTCAGTGCTTCCAAAATCCCATTGGAATCCCCATCCAAGAACTGCTCTCACCAGAATTGGGCCTTAGGGCAGTGTTCAGGAACAAAAGGTGGAAGAAAGCCTCCCCCCCCCCCCCCCCCCTTCTCAGCCATAGGCACTTGACAATGGAGAAAACTGGAATGAAAATGAGAATGTTGTTCCTGTTTCTCCCCAGTTAATCTCTTGCTTTCTGGCCTCTCTTAGGAACTACCACCTAGGTTTGGGATGCTGACTTGCCTGTTCCTCTTGCTGCAGGTTCCTATTGAACTGGAAGGTACCATTGGTGTGAACAGGACAGCAGCACAGGAAATTCCAGGCTTCTTCAATCTGCTTTCTCAGCAATGTGGGAAGCACTGATCCCCTTCTTTCCTACTTTCTGCCTAAAAGAGAAGCCAAAATGTCTCATCATTACAAGGAAGTGTGAGGATCCTGCAGCTCCTGGCACTCCCTGAGAAGGAGAAAACTGAGGCCATGAACAAGCCCTGTGGCATCAAGACATTCTGCTGGGTGAAGGATGACAAAGGGGGTTTCCTTGCTGGGGAGATCCAGTCTGGAAAGGATAACGAAGTCATGGTGAGGATGGTAATCAACCAGCTAAGCTCTACTTTATGGGTTCAACAGGACCCCAACAGGTCAACAAGTTGCCCCCAGAGGAAGTGCAATCACATCTAAGACCAGACCTACTCTGCTTTGTGGGTCAGCCAACTTGTGGGACTCCTTTCCTGAGGCCACCAGTGGGGGGTAGCTGGAACAAGTGGGTGTATTCCTGAGAGACTGTCTTCCCATGTGGTCCATGGAGACCCATCTGGGATAACATCACCTACTTCCTGTTCTCCAACACTGCAGGCCATCGTGGTGAAGAATGTCCAGCAGACGAATGGAATGGTGGATGATGAACCCACCCAAGTTCAACCAGATGGATCACAGCCGGATGGCAAACATGACCTTCCTGGATGAGGCCAGTGTCCTGGACAGCCTCTACACCCCCATGAGGATCTATGGTTTGAAAGGGCAGAGGGGAATGGCAAAGCTGCATGGGGTGAAGGCAGGACAGCAACAGCTCCTGACTCAGTGGGCCAGCCTGTGCTGCTCTAAATTGTGTGTGACTTAGATCTTCCAATTCCAGCTTATATCCAAGACACTTTTCCCTGCCTATCACTCACAAGCAAAAGGCAAAGCACCAGGACATTTGAGTTCTGTGTCTTCATATTAATTCCCTGCATTTCCTTCTTCCCATTCACAAACCAGAGGGTGATATTGATCTGTGGCTGCAGGGAATCTGCCCTCACACAGAGCTCTGGGGGCTTGCAGGTGATCTGGAAACTGCAATCAATAGCAGTGGGAGGAATAATCACAGTGTTTGCTTGGAGATTGTGGAAAGAAGAGAGCCGAGGAGCAGCCTCAGGGATCCTCAACCAGGGGGGATTTCCCAGCACTTCATTTCCTGCCACCTGCAACACCAAAACATAGTAAAAAGTGGTTTATATGAGTAAAACATTGTGAAAAGCATCAATAATCAGAGAGGGAGACCTGGTCCTTCTTCTCTTGACAGCAGTGAAGTATCTTGCTTGGTATCAAACAGAAAGAAGCCCTCCCTCTAACAGCTTCTTCTAACAGAGGGATTGCAGCTTCTAAGGCTGCAGTTGTTTCTCTTCTCTTCCTCCTTCTCCTTCTCTCCCTCCTTTTCCTTCTCCTTCTCTCGCTCCTTCTCCTTCTCTCCCTCCTTTTCCTTCTCCTTCTCTCCCTCCTTTTCCTTCTCCTTCTCTCCCTCCTTTTCCTTCTCCTTCTCCCCCTTTTCCTCCATCTTTCCCTTTTCCTTTTCTTTCTCCTTTTCCTTCTCCTTCTCTCCCTCCTTTTCTTTCTCTCCCTCCTTTTCCTTCTCCTTCTCTCCCTTTTCCTCCATCTTTCCCTTTTCCTTTTCTTTCTCCTTTTCCTTCTCTCTCCCTCCTTTTCCTTCTCCTTCTCCCCTTTTCCTTCATCTTTCTCTTTTCCTTTCTTTCTCCTTTTCCTTATTCTTTTTCTCTTTCTCTTTTTCCTCTCCCCTCTGAGTCTATGGGGGTCAGTAGAACAATTCAGAACTCAAAGACATAAATAGCAGCCACATTTGGCCTCGCAGCAAAAATCCTGTTATTCCAGCCCTGTGGGATTCCTTCGGTGGCTTCCTATTTCTCCTTCCAGCTTCCTCACTGCCAGAGCTCTGGAGTGTCATGTCCCAGCTTGTTTCCTCCTCCACAACTTCTCCCCCCGAGGCTCTCCCTTACTCTCCTCGTTTCTAGCCTGTCTTATGCTGCCCTCTATCCTTGGAATAACCTTCCTCTTCCTACAAGCAATAAACCTCACTCTTTCCTAGCTTTCTGCTTGCAGATCCCAGCATTCTCCTGTGGGTCTCCTAGTGCCGGCACATCCCAAAACCTCTTCTCTGGAAAACTGAAGGACTAAGCTCTGAAAACTACATTCCACTTTGCACTTGGGGTTCTTCCTTGGAACAGCCAGGCTTCCACCTGCCCCACAGCCATAAGGCTGGACCTCTGTGGAAGAATCACTGCTGCCAGATGTAACAAGCTTTGTGTGGAGATGCCTGTCAGGAAAGGTATGTACTGGGATGCTTTGGATGCTGAGCAATAGTTGTGCTTAAAGCCCAAGTGTTCAGTGCGGAGCATCCTGCTGCTGCTGACTTTTTATCTCCTTGAGCATCACATCATCCAGGTGAATCCTATTCTGGAGAACTTGGATAATGCTACAAGTACGAGGAAGAACGATTCCTCCTGTTTGTAAGTACCAGCCCTGTACTGATGGGTCACACAAAGATGAATTAAACCCACAAATGATGTTAAAACGCACCCTGAAGCCCTGGAGTGAGCTGATCTTCACCAACATTTCACACAAAGCACCACTGGTTCCCATCGTCTTGAACTTTGATTTGATTTGGACTTTGTATTTTCAGCTGTCGAAAGAAAAAAAGAAGTTTCAATCAAGCCCAAATTACCGCACTCTCAGCTATTGACTTCTGCAGAGATTCCAAATGCTTTCAGCTTGGGCAGATCAGTTCTGATATGGAAATTGTCAGTGACAATTTGGGGTTTCCAACTGCACTCTCATCCCTCCGTCTCTGGGTGCTACATACTCCTGCCATATGCTGCAGAGAAAGGAGGATTTCTTTAAGTTGTAATACAGAATCTAAGCAGAAAAGAGGGGTTTTTATAGAGCTGATCTTTGAAAAGATTACATTTCCTCTCCCTGACTTGCAGATTTGCCCCTCCAGGCAACGCTGGCTGTCCCTGATGGATGCTCACAACCTCTCAGCTACTTTCTGGTTTCCTACAGTTATTACAATCTTGATTAACAGACTCATCTTTGATTTGCTCATCTGGGGCAAATTCATCTGAATTCCCTTTGGGAGCTGGGGCTGACACTGAGGCTTGTAAGGAAACACATCATTCCTTATATTCATTTTGCTTTGGATGTTTCCTCGTGTTGAACAGACCCTGTTCTGATCGCATCAGACACGTGCAAACCTGAACTGAATTCTCTCAGCTTGAGAGTTCTGCACTGCTGTAAATGAAATCAAACCTTCCCCTACTTCCACAGTGATGCTCTGGATGATGACGAATGTATTTCTTCTTTCTTTAGTTGCCTATGAGACACTGTGAACACAAAATTGCCACAGTGCCTCCCCCCAGAGCTGTACACTTTTCATTCTACAATTACATTGCAAACATGACTTACATTCTCAATCCAACCCTGTGCTTGTCTTGCAACCAAGACCCTAAAAATAGCTACCCAGGGAAGGTGCATTGTCCTTTGTCTGCACATGTGCATCCAAGACTAAATTGGGAAGCACAAATCCCTGCTCTCAAGGTAAAAGGACCCCAGCATGTTTCCTGCCTAACGCCCTTTAGCATGCAGAAAAAGGAGAGAGGAAACATATGGAGCAGTTATTCTTTAACGTGGGATTGTCTGCATCCCTCCTACTTTCAACTCATCCCAGCTTTGCATCACACCCAGAGACCATATGTTGGATTTGCCTCTCTGGACAGTTCAAGGCCAAGGCAAGTTTGGGCTGTTTAGTGGCAGGTTCCAGCTTCTTCAGCCTGGCCTCAAGAACAAGGGCATGGTCAGATCCTCACTGTGCACCAGCAGCATTGGTGCAAGGTCCTTCTGTACCCTCCCTGGAGCTCTGCTCCCTGAAGTCACTTGGACTATCTAAAACTGGCAATAAAGGTGGTTTGTATCAACCCAAATTTGTCTGAAGAACTCCTGTGATGCTATCACCACCAGAGCCAGATGGACAGAGAACCTGAGCTGAGAGGCAAGGATGAGAAATGCCCAGGCAGGACTGGTAGCAAGGTACAGCTGAATGAATTGATACAGAGAGGGCACAGGGAGGATGGATTTGTGGAGACCAGAAGCCACACTAAGCATGTTAGTGTCTGACAGAAGGTATGGACAGAGCCATTACAGGGTATATCTTTTCCAGAGCTCTTTCCAGAAAGAAAAGGATACGTTTCACAGGTCAGTCTTACAAACCATGCACGGATGGATTCATCTGGAGACCAGTTCCTGAAGCCAGCAATGACATACCTGGACAAGCGATGGCATCTTTGGCCTCCATTTCACTAGCTGCCGAAACAGCTGTGCCAA